TGCTGTTCTTGTTGTAAGTCCACAGGTTGATTGTGGTTATCTTTTGTAATAGGATAGGGGTATATGTGTCTGGTTTAAGTATTTTTTTTGCTAATGTAGAACATTGTTGTAATGCAAAGTAATGTTTAATGAAAATTTGGTATCTATTGACCAATTATGGATTTGTTCTATTGTTCATACATAACCTTCTAAAGATAACATATAATGCATCCATATGTAGTTAACACAAAAGCATACTAAAGACATAATACCTATTACCATCTTCAAAATACATGTCATAAGTTAATTGAAAACAAGGTTATTGCAACAAAAGACATCCTGCATCTAGGAATCAAACCAAAGTTGTTCAATACAGTCAAACCAAAAGATAAAACCAACATAGACCATCAAGTCCCTCCCTGACCTTTGCATGTCCTGGAGTTCCCTTTGTTTCCACACTTACTACAAGTCACACTAACAAACTTTCTTGTTAGTTTCCCACTACCATGTGGACCATGACCATGAATCTCACTGGGACCAACATCTGACCTTTGACTCTGACTTTGACTCTTGCTTTGACTTTTCTCCTCCATGGATTGCCTTCTCTTCCTCTTGGGTCTCCTAGGTTGATTACAATGTGGGGGAGGTGTGATCTGCATTGGACACTCACTTCTAGGCCACAGTGCCCGACCTTTAATTGGTTCCACCTTGTACCCATATGCCGTTTTCCAAGTTTGTAGCCAGTACACCTTGTGGACATAAGTATGGAGCTCTTGTACACACTCACCATGATCTGCTTTGTTATACAACACAGAAATCACATGTCTGCAAGGGATACCTGTTAATTCCCATTTCCTGCAGCTGCATACCCTTTCATGCATATCAACAACATGTTGATCATTCCATGGGCCTTTGACTTGGTATTTTTCATCACCACACCATTCTGCAATGTACTGAGTAGCAACTGCTTCATTCTTCTCCATGATCTTTGTTGTTGTTGGGGTGAGTGGGCCTAAACACTTTTGTTGCACCTTGAGGACATTGCATATCCTTTCATCATATATTCCCTAATAAACTCCAAGCAGCTAATAATTGGTTTGTCTCTCCCATCAACTAGCTTGCCATTAAACACCTCACAAAGGTTGTTTAACAGCATGTCTGTGGTTGCTCTCCCTGTATAGAAAAGGGTGAAAGTGTCATAAAGTTATGTGAAGGGTAAAATGGTAAAAGGGTAAAAGGGTCATAATAGCTTACCTGTGAAATGGCTTTTTGCCCAATGTTGTGGTGGTATTGACTTCAACCATTCATATGCTGATTTGTCATATAAACTGAATTTGTGCATGAAATGGTTAAACTCTGGCACTGTTGTAGCTGTGGCACAATCCCAAAGGTGATCTTTATATTCCTTAGTTCTCCATTGTTTCTTCATGTTCTCATGTATATGTCTGAGACAGAACCTATGCTCAGCACATGGGAACAGTTGACTAACTGCTTGTAGCAAACCCTGGCAACAAATTACACATGATTAACAAAATAAACAATAAAAATAATAAATAAACAACCATTACCTTTTGTCGATCACTAACAAAAGTGAAATTAGACATAGCATGTAGATCCAAGTCATCACCAAGACATTCAAGGAACCACTTCCAAGATTCGCAGTTTTCAATCTCTACAATGGCATATGCAAGTGGGTATATGCCATTGTTGGAATCTAATCCAACTGCAGTTAAGATCTGGCCTGGATAAGGGCCTTTCATATGAGCCCCATCTAGCCCTAAGAAATCTCTTAAACAAGCTTTGAATCCCTTCTTCATCCCTCCTAGACAAACATAAATTCTTTTGAAACATCTTGAAGTGCAATTCACCAAATTAGATTCTGAAACATCTCCAAGTTCTAATTTGACTGTGGTATCAGGATTGGTTGACTACAACTCAAGGATATAGTCTCTCAGAACTTCATACTGTTTTTTGTAATCACCCACTACAATCTTTTTTGCATCTGCTTTAGCTCTAAAAACTTTATGGATTAAGAAGCCCACTCCATACTTCTTCTGTAATTGTTCTTGGAGAGCTTTAACTGGGATAGTAGGGTTGGATTCTACTTGATCCATGATTTGTTTGGACATAAACTTTGCTGTTGTAGCTCTCACCTTCCTTGTATTCATACAAGTGTGTTTGTCTTCATATGTTTTAATGTACCAGCTGCTTGCATCTGTAGACCTCGAGGCATGTAACATCCAAGGACAAGAAGAATCTGCTTTTTCCTGACTTGTACCACCTTGTTTGTCCTTTTCTTTACTTTTCCCTTTACTTTTCCCTTTAATTTTCCCTTTACTTTTTTCAGCTTGGGTAGGTCCACCAACTCCATCATTAGTAAATGCCACAACTCCATTACATATGGCCTTCAATCTGGATTTGTCATTTTTTTTAAATGCAATATTCTTTTTTGTTTCCAATGCATGCATTTTGATGTTCTCTTTCAACTCCTGCTTACTGTTATACTTTTGACCTATTTTAAAATGACACTTATGAACCTCACCTAAAGAACAACTTTTTTCCTTACTTAGTTGTTGCAAAACTGCTCTTCTCTTCCTATCCTGGTTAGAATCCTCATCCATGGAATCAAAAGCATCATTGTCAATGACATCTAACTCATCTTCTTCTTCATCACTCTCATGTTGTCTAGGATTCCTAACCCTTTTATCTAAGAACTCTACTTCTGTATCAATGCTCATGTTAAAATCCCTCATATCAACTTCAATATCTTCAATTACATTATCTTCATCCACCCAATAATCACTATCATCACTATCATCTTCCTGCTCTGTTTCACTTCTTTCTTTACTTTCAACCTCACTTACATTTTCTTTTCCACTACTATCCATGTTAGACTGAGGTTGGTTTTCACTTCCATCTTGGACAAAAGCATCAGTTTGATAGTCAAAATCCCAAAAGTCATTCATTTGAGGTTGGTTTTCTTCATCCATCTGAGCTTGGTTTTCTTCATCCATTTGAGGTTGGATTTCTTCATCCATCTGAGGTTCATTGACATCATGCATGTCAGTGCCATTGACTCCATCAACATTGCTTTGTAGTATTTGTTGGTAGAGTCCAATATCAAAATCAGTAGTTGCCTCAACAAAGTCTTTGGCTATCTGTTCAGTCTCACCAATATCATCAAAGTATATTTTCTTACTGCAAGATGCCATCACTCCATCCTTGCTCATACCCCTTCTCCTATTATATCCAGGTGATAAGGATACGACTTGAACTATTTCATTAACTTAGATTTCAGGTTGGTTTGCTTGAGTGGGCACCACATCAACTAAATTATCAGTAGGTGTAGTCATCACAGGTGTTTCCTTTGATTGGTCATCAGGAGCTTCATCAATATGTTGCTCATCCTCATGTGGTTCATCTAACTGTACAAGGGTAACCTTGGTAACAGGCTTAGGATTCAAGAAATAGGTGAGTAGTCTTGTTTCACCATGCTCTGTGTATACCTTCATCACTTTGTGCTCACTGACATATTGAGAAAAGTTTGCAACATCTTGATCATTTCCTAAAGGGCGAAGACCAAAGTGGAAGTCTCCACCAGGCACAAGAAAATGGTAGTATATAACAGGAGGAACCCCATATCTAAAACCCTTCATGATTGCATCGAGCTCATGAACTGAAAACTCATCTATGTCTACCATGTCAACATAGTTTACAGTTCCATCAATGTAATGAACATCAGGGTACTTGGTGAACTCACCTCCATGGTACAACTTAATGGTAAACAATGTTGGGTGTCCATCTTCAAAACAAGAAAAAAAAAACACCTCAGTTGGACTTACTTAAAAAAAATCAAGAAATCAAAAGATGAAAAAGGGCAAATTACGTACCATAAACAACCTTGGGGTTGAAGGGTGTGTTTAACAACCTTACGTGCCACATTGTTATGTTCATCCACCGATAATCTCTACGCAGCTTAACTAACAGAACTGATTTTGTGTCTAGGGCTTTTATTGATCTTCGTAAAGAACGACGGTCTACTTTATTGGGGAGGAGAGAAACTGCTTTTATTGAGCTTTAGCGGGAACGGTTACAGGGATTAATGGACTAAAATACCCTTAAGTGAGAGGGGCATGGATAAATTAACGGGAGCTTGGTAACGGCTGTTAAGCCATTGGACTAAACTCGTAACAAATAGAAACTATTGGACCATCTTTGCAAGTCAAACCCATTTTGGACCAAACATGTTAGTTTGGACATACCACAGGGATCAAATTTGCAATTTTGTCTTTTTTTTTAATGTAAATCATCAAACATATACTTCTTTCTATCATACATATACTTAAGAAATTATTTCTTAAGGTTGAAAGTTGAAGTGTGACTATATATATATATATATATATATATATATATATATATATATATATATATATATATATATATATATATATATATATATATATATGGAATTAAGGAGATGTTATAGATTGCATTTGTTGTTAAAAAAAAAATCACCAAACATATGCTTAATTGGAGATTTAAAACACCAAGCCTAAGTTAAGCAACATCATGATTCGTCAAATCTCTTAAACCACACCGACCCACATTATGCGATTTGCCTTCTTTTGGTATGTTTTGGTTGGGTTGATGGTTCGACACCCTCCCATTTTCAACTTTTACTAACTAACCCACCTCCTTTCCATCTTCAAATTCTTTCACGCGCCACCATTAACATCCTTAATCTGCCCCTACCTAGCTAACAGCTTGCACTCTCTCTCTTTCTCTCTCTCTAGAAAAATACTCTATAAGAAAGCAGACAACCGCCGGTGTTGATGCTAGATTACTACTCTTTTTCCACTTATAAATTTCTCCGACCGAGTAAGATCTAAACTATCAATTCTTCTCATCCTCTATATTCGTGTTGATATGTGATTGATCAAATTATAGTTTAATGTGTACATGTGTGCAGGTTTTAATTTGGCAGTGTGTGTAATTAGTTAAGATTTGAAACAATTGACGTGATGTTAGACCTTAACCTAAGTATTTACCAGACCGATTTGATGTCGTCGGAATATATGGAGGAGGATGGCGGCAGGAATAAGCAGATCCTTGAGCTATCTGTTGGCACTTCAAATTCTTCCGTCGTGAGTAACACCGGCGACGAGGAGCTCTCACACTCACACTCGCACTCGCACTCCTGCTCGAATCTCACGTATGGTTTTGAGATACTGAAACAGAATAATCTAGAAGAATTTCAGGAGCATAGGTCAGATCATATGGTGGTTACAAAGCAGCTCTTTCCGGCGATTGGTGGTGGTGGCGGTGGCGGTGGCTTCATTCAGCAGCATTGGTTGGATAATGGCGATGACGATAGAGTATTCATGTTGAGGCAACAACAACAACAGCTGCAGCATCAGCAGCATATACAACAGGTGAAGAAAAGTAGGAGAGGACCGAGGTCTCGAAGTTCTCAGTATCGTGGTGTTACGTTTTATCGAAGAACAGGAAGATGGGAATCACATATTTGGTTAGTTAATACATCGATCTTTTTTGATTTTGTGTAACTATACCCAACATCCATTACTTTAAAATACTAATAATTTTTTTAGTCAGAAAGAAAATAGATAAGATGGTTTTTATGATTTATTAAAGAAAGATACATAGTTGCAAAAAAAAAAAAAAAAACAATATATCTTCGTTATTTTACCATTTCATTCAATGTTTTATCATTTTATGTGAAACATTACATAAAATGCTATACGTGTTCAATAAAACGTTAAGTTTTTAATTTGATTAAAAAAATGAATAGGTTAAATAGTATATAGTATGTTCAGTTAAATTGTCAAAAGACTATAAGCTGTAAGAGTGAAAACATGGTGTATTTCTTTAATATTAACCTCTAATAATAGAGTATTGTACGTAAAAAAAAATTATTAACATATTAATTACCACATATAATAAAAAATTGATACTTCATTGTTACATTTACTTATGTTTGAATTTCTATACGTTTTCTGCAGGGATTGTGGGAAACAAGTTTATCTCGGTAATTAAGCAATCATACGTAGCATTGAAATCCCATTCTATTTCATTATGTATATGTTTAATTAATACTTATTTGAATTCTATATATATTCTTAATTATTTTTGTAGGTGGATTTGATACTGCACATGCTGCTGCTAGGTAAATATCTTTCTACACTTTTTCAGTTTTCTGACATTAGTTTCATCATTTAATCATGTAAAATTTTATAAACCTGATATATATTTTTCTACAGGGCATATGATCGGGCTGCTATAAAATTTCGCGGTGTTGATGCTGACATTAATTTCAATATAAGCGATTACGAGGACGACTTGAATCAGGTTAATTTAACTAAATTTGATGTATAACTTAAAATTTGTTTCTTATAATCAGTTGAAAATCCCAACGAATATGCTGTTAATTAATTTATGTATATCTTATGTTACACAGATAAAAAACCTGACCAAGGAAGAGTTTGTGCATATACTTCGTCGTCAAAGCACTGGATTCTCAAGAGGAAGCTCAAAGTATAGAGGTGTTACCCTACACAAATGTGGTCGTTGGGAAGCTCGAATGGGCCAATTTCTTGGGAAAAAGTGAGTTTTGTCATTTAGCGGGTTGGATCTGTGTAATTAATGAGATAGAATTAAATTTTGAAAAAAGTTTGGTAGATTTGTTATTTTCTCAAAAAAGTACAAAAAAATAACTCTTATCTAATATTAACTAAAAATATTGTGGAGGGTGACGATATTTGTTGTCACACGTTTTTGGTTTGTAGATATATCTATCTTGGATTGTTCGATAGTGAAATCGAAGCTGCAAGGTTAATTCCTACAATTCCCTTAATTAATTAACTTGATTGTCTCCCAATTATGGTTGTTTTGATGATTTACTTATTAACATGTGTGATTTTTTTGAATTGATTAGGGCTTATGACAAGGCTGCAATAAAATGCAACGGGAGAGAAGCGATCACCAACTTTGAGCCTAGCTCATATGAAGGTGAGCTTAGTCTTGAGACAGACAATGGAGGTAAATTATTTCCTTAAATAGCGATTTTATGAGTGTGTGGATGAAATTTTTTTAAGTTAACTTTTTACTTATTTTCATAAACAGATAAAACTGATTACGTGGATTTGAACCTGGGTATCGCTCCTCCGTCTTTAACAGAAGGCGTTAAAGTCAACGACACCTTCCGCAGCATGCACGAGATCAACTATATTTTAGGTGACATGTCTTCACACGCCGCAATAACTACGGTAATATTTTCAACTTTTTATCATATAATTTAATTTAAAAAAATTAACATTAACACCTCGTTTCCGAGTTCAATTTAAAGAGAGAAAAGAAAGGAAATGGGTGGAAAGTAAGAGAAATTGGTGTTCCCGAGTTTCATTAAAGGAGGGAAGTGCAAGGAAATGGAGGGATCACTTTCCCTCCTAACTTTCCTTCCGATTTGGAAGGATTTGAAGAGAAACAACAAAATGTTTAACTTTCCTTCCATTTCTCTCCAACTCGGAAACACAAAACACAAATTTCTTTTCCTTTCTCTTCTCTTCTTTTTTCTCCTTACTTTCTTTTATCTTCTCTTCTTTTCTCTGCTACAACTCGGGAACGGGGTGTAAGTCATTAAATAATGTCTAGACATGAGGATATATGGTAAGTTGGTAACTCTTATGTCAATTTTATTAGATTACTTTTTCTCTTTTAAATTCTTTTGCCAGGTACAGATAATATATAATCTAACGTATCATTTTATAAATGAAATTGTTGGAAACTAGGGAACAACAATTGATAATTATCCTCTAAGCCACGGAATGGGAGAAAGATTGACAGGTGTTACGTACTTCTACTTTTTCTATTGTAAATATTTCTAGTCAATAAATTGTTTAGAGATTATATCTTATATATAAAATTTATAATCAACTAGTTAATTCTGCCACCACAGAGTTCTTGGCTCCGTTGGCAGCAAGGCAAGTGAAGGCTCATTGCGGCGGAGCTACACCACCAGCTTCATTCCTGCCGGCTGCAGCATCATCAGGATTCGGTAATTCACCATCACCGGCTGCTCCTGCTCCTGCACCACCCATTCCTCACTGTCCCTACAATGTCAACAACATTCCATTGTACTACTGTAGAGGTTGAAGGTACAAGTAGATGAAGCACATCATTTTTTTTTTATGTAGTTGAAGGAGAAATTAACAGGTTGTTGGTTTACCCATAACATGAAAAAAATGTTACCTTGACGAAGTATTAGTTAGTAGTGTTATCAAAATAATTTTTGTAAGATGTTATTTGTGTATGTTAATTTACTTAATATATATGCGTGGATTTAACTTGTAATATGAATAGATAATTTTGCATGGGGTTTCGTTCACGAGTACGTTCATAGTAAAAGATTGAATTGAAACAATGTCGTTTATAACACTTTTCAAACATTCATGAATAAATCATAAATTAGAATATTTGAACTATTTTGAGGTTTGTTATGCTAAACAGCAAGAGGAAAAGGTTGCATAATTGCAATGAAACGTGTTTTCCTATAGTAATAAAAGAAATAGTTCAGAATACAATATTTTGAATGAGTAAGATCATGATAAATACTAAGGTTTACATTATAAAATTATACCTTTACATTGGTTCTTGATGTATGTAATGTGAAGTTCCTCCTCTTTAATGTGAATTTCTATTGCTCTATATTGTCATGCTCATGGTTGAGAAGTTGATATTAGATTTCCCGGAATGCCCGTTCCAGGTAAATACATCTTTTGTGTTTATGGCAATTTAAAGACTTCAAATGTGGATTTTGTAGCAACCACGATGTGGTGGAGGAACTACCATGACATGGTGCTAGCTAAGATGGACCGCACATTTTGTGTGTGCCACGACATGACAAGCTTTATGTCACGATTGTTGGATTAGTGTCTAAGTCCATAAATATTATAGTATGTACTTATCCGATTATGAGCATGATCATTTTGGGTTGCCTTCACCATAACAACATATAGGATGAATTAAGAAGAGAAATGTTTAATTATGATTTATTAATATATTATAAGAATAATATATTAAAGGAAAAATCATATTGTTTAATTAATATTAGTCAAGAATTAATTTTGTGGCTAAAAAGATTAATTAAACTTAGGGGACTAGAATTGTAATTATAAGACAATTGCAATTGGGCTATGGATCACCTTGGAATAATAGGTTGGACGAATTCTATGGGGAAGCCCATTAGAAATCGTCCAAGGCATGTTCTAGAAGGGGTCCATGGGCTGCTTATGGATTAAGCAGTCAAATTAGGGTTTCCTAACTTGATAACCCTAATTGCCTACCTATATAAAGACCCATTGAGACCCAAAAACGTGGCTAACACTTGGATTAGGGTTTCAAGCCGTTTTTGATGCCTCCCCTCTCTTTCCTCTTCATTCTTATTGCTTAGTGGTGTTTATAACTCCATTAGAGGTGCAACACTTGAGGCACTAAGCTTTCTGAAGCTAAGGATTGATTGTTATTGCTATATAACAATCAAAGGTTAGATCTAAACCTTATTTTATGTTAATATGATTAGTTGTATGCTAGATCTAGGGTTTATGGATTTGGATATTCAATTGCATGTTCTTTAAACAAACTAGATCCAAAAGTTATTAGGGTTTTCATGTACACCATAGGATTGATGTATTGCTCCAAACCCATCAACGACGTGGCGGCGGTCAACATGCAAACCCTAATTTTTTGGGTTTTATGTTATATTCAAGGGATGTAATGGCTAGACTTTGATCATCCTAAGCCTCTATCACCTCTCTTTCGACCTAAAGCAACCCTAGCCTCCATTGTTGACATCTTGAAGGGGTTTTTTTGTGGTGTTTAGTGGTATTGAAGAAGAAAAAGGTGTTCTTGGTGCATAGATCCAACAAGCAAACCTCCTTATCACCTTCTTGCATACATTATGGACTTTTGTAAGTCCTCAAGTTTCTACATTTATGTGCCCCTGTTCTAGATTTAGACTCTTATGCACTTTTCTTCATGTTTAAGATGATTTGAGTAGACGGATTTCATAAAGTTTTCAACTTTCTGGATCCTTAAGGTCCCTTTGTGGTTTCATGTTTCAGATGTGATGTTCGGTAGAGTTTTGATCCCCATGAATGAGGTTTTGACCTCATTTTCACCATTCTTGACCTAACTAAAGTTCAAGACAAGCATTGGACATGCACATCCATAAAGTAAGGTTTTTTAAAGGATTTTTTTGGTGTAAGGAAGCTTTCTGGAAAAGATGAGTAAGTTGCTTAATGGATTAAGGGTTTAATCCATTGAGTTATCCAGGAACCGTTCCCACGAAGTGGCGATATGCTTAACATGTCGTGGTGAATGGGGTTTGACGTGACTATTCTGTCGTAAGAGTGCCATGATGTGGCAGATGCCTGGCCATGACAAGGTGGCCAGTTGAGTTGATTTTTCGGTGTTAACTTTAACTGTTTTTTGTTGACTTTTTGATAAAGTTGACTTTTGGTCAACTGGAGGGTTTTTAGGCTATAGATTGAGGATGTACCTTTGATTGTTGTATAGGTGGCTCGTAGCACCAATCTTTGTTTCATGTGAGTTATATTATTGTAAGGTGAGTTTTCTCACTATACTATGTATTGTATTATGTATCCTTGTGTTCAAGATGTTGTTATATTGTACTGATATGCTAGTTTGGTAGATCTATTATGATTACCTATATTTACAGGTTTATTGTCTGTTTGTTTGCGTATGTTAACATATTGTGGTTGGGTTGAGACGATTCTGCTCTGTGTTGTAGGCCAAGATACTCGGGCAGTCCAGGTGATACTCTAGCCCCATGCTATAGGCTCAAGAAAGCGATCCAGCTATATGTTGTAGGCTTAAGAGAGCGGTCTAGGTGTACTATAGGCCTTGCGAGATGGTCCAATCAGACTGAAGGCTCATGTGTGCATCCATTGTATGTCTATTGTTGTGTGGGGTATTTTAAGGAACTCACTAAGTTTTTGCTTATAGTTGTGGTTTTAAATGTTTCAGGTACTTCATAAGATCAGAGGAATACGAAGGCTTGACTATACATATCATCTCGTGAATATATGTTTGAGAGATATTATTTGATACTCTGATTTTATAACTATGTTTTGAAACAACGAATTGGATGACTAATGGTTTTTCTGAGGATGTCTTTGGAAAAAATGAAAAATTTTACTATTGTTTTTGGACGTTAAAAATAGTATCAAAACCCTACTTTGAGGGATCTGGATGAACATTCATGTGATTCCAGACTCAAACTATGGATCTGCAAAAGATTTTTCACAACATTTTTCTAAAATAATAATAATAATAACATTTAAAAGGAAGGATGTGATGTGTATAGTCAGTTGGAGATCAAGAGAAAGTTATCCACCAAAATACCCACACTTGTCATATGTATATTGGTGATTTGTTAACGTGTTAGAACTGCATGTTAGTTTATAGGCTAGGGTTCTTCAGGAATTGCATGATAAAATTGCCTAATTTGTTATGCCTGATAGCCTTGCGGATTTTTTGTTTATGTTATATGATACTGACATTATTACTATAGTTTCTAAGTGTATACATCATGATTGTATATAACTAAGATTATATAGCCATAGAATGCTTGATTTAGCCTTACTTCCTGTTCCATTATTGGTTGTGGGCTTAAGGTAGAATCAATTATTCGACTGTCTATCGAATCTGATGTTATGTCTGTCAGCATACGCAAGGCGACCGCAGTGTTAGTGAAGGTTTCATGAGTTGGGCACGTGATTGACAGAGCTCTAGAAGAAGTGAGGATCTCATGGTCACTCTTAAGAGAGTGAGTGTAGGGTGTATGCATACTCTAGTTGTTTTATGCCTAGTGGTCCAAGAACTTCATGGTGATCCTTTGAGACAAATATGGGTAGGTGTGGAAGATAATATGAGCTCATGCTACTAGAAGAACAAGACCCGTATGTATGTCAAGGAAGTCACAGGTTCCAGGGGTGAGTAGTTGAGTAGTGGTGTGTCATCGTATCATGTGATTTTCTGATGTGTTCCGAGTTTATTTTTTGCATGATGGTTACGAGAGGTCCCAGTTTAGGTGTTGATGGTTCAAAGAGGCCAAGATTGAGTGATGATGAGATCTGAGAGTTGATCACTACTCAGGTGACTTTGGCAGTCAAAGAGGTGATTCCAATAGTGTTTGGGTCTGTTAAGACCTAACCACTATGATTGAGATGTTTGATGAGCATTATGTTGTCATTACTGAGATTGCTGCTACCATAACCACTACAAACATCGCTACTGTAGGACTTCAGGGAGGTTAATATAGTATCGAGAACCAGAAAGTGAAGTTTGCACGCCCAGAATCTGATGAGGTCAAGGACCTGATTGTTACCATGAAGGTGAAGTTTCTACACATGTTTATGTCTGGAGAACCAGAAGGTGAAGTTTGCACTGAACCTTGTTTGCTTGGTGGCGAAGGACTGGTGGAAGTGTTTGTGACTCAGAGCTTTTCTACTGTGGAGCAGGCTGCAATGACTTGGGAGTAGTTCACGAAGATATTCTGCATTGAGTATGTTCCAATGGTAGAGAGTGAGAGATAGATAAAGAAATATTGGTCCAGGAGTATGTGTTTCTTAAGCAGACGACGTAATTGATGATGGAGATCACCAAGATGTTTACGAAGAGAGCTCTTTTCTACCCTATGTATACTGCTTTGGAGCGGGTACAGATGTCCCAATACTTGAGCATGCTCGAGACTGAGATCTAGGAGTTCGTGTCGACTAAGCAGTATTAGACCCTAACAGAAATATAATAAGTTTCTTGGAGGAAAGTGATTAAGATTGAGACCTAAGAGAGAGAGAGAGAGAGAGAGAGAGAGAGAGAGAGACAGGCAGACAGACAGACATACAGGCAGACAGAGAAGAAACATACCCCAGTTCAGACTCGACCTACAGTTAAGCAATTCAAGCATGCTAATTCCCGATATAGAGGCCAGAAGGTCTGTACTTGCGGCAAGTGGGGAAACATGCATGAGGGTTTATGTCGATCAGGGACCAAGTGCCACAAGTGCAGCAGGGAGGGACGCTTAGCTAGAGATCGTTGTCAGGAGCAGCAACATCCCCCATAACAGGGCACAC